GAGGCTAATAAAATGGATTATAAATTATTGGATCTAGTAACGAAAGAATCCCTAAAAGTTTAATATCTACTGTGCCGAATGGTTAATGTCTGTTACAGTAGATGTGACGGGACTGGGTTTGGATGGTGACTGGTTGTGGGAGGTGATGACGGCATCAAACCTTCGGGTTCGCGAAGCCTTTTATTATTATTACTGTTATTTAACAAATAATTTTTACAACAAATTTATTTCAACATTAAAATTTATACCTCAACAACTTAAAGCTAAAATTTATCATTACCAAAATGAGACCATTAATTTAAGTCAACAATGACTCGTTAAAGTCAACAGATATTATGAGGCAGTTTCTCGCTATAATACTGACGTGAGATTAGTAAACTTCATCATATAGTTTGCTAGTTCATTACAGACCATTCTGTCAGCCATTAGTTCCCAACGAAAATCTATGAACTTCTACTGCATCTACGGGATTATTTTCTGACTCAATTAATTATCTTCTGCTCTTAAAGTTGGCAAGAAATTTACTTGCTAACACCAGTATGTATCATCGTCAACCAAAATTTTCACCAGAGGTCTGTTGAACTTTGAGTTTAGAAGATCTCTCCAAAGTTGACCGTAACATTTTTTTGTCTATGTACCGGTCAACATTTTCAACATTAAACATTAACCATCTCCGTACCAGTTTAACATTGATTACTTTTAGTGTTGCCCAAATGCGAGACCGAGACGAGTCTTGGTCTTGCAAACTCAGTCTTGGTCACGGTCTTGGTCTTGCGCAAGAGTATCGCAACAGACTTGCAGTTACTTATTACCTTATCACTATAGAGATATTACTGTACTTTTTTAGACGGGAGGAGCATAACTAAGCCTGAATGAAAAATTTGAGATGTTAAATGCAAAAGTATTTTGGTTATACCAATTATTAACATATAGTAATTAAAAGTTTGCCTTGATTTTTATTTAAAAAATTGATTTTTTTAGCAGCCCTATTCTTGGTCTTGCAACAGTTAGGCGGCCTTGGTCTTGGTCTTGCAAAGTGCAAGACGGAAAACGATTTTGGGCAACACTAATTACTTTAATAGAGATTTTGAATGAGGATAACAAGCTTTTTGTCGTCTATCTCCAAAGTTTTATTTGTTTATTCTACTTTAGTAGAGGACCAGTATAGGCTTAATGGAGACCGCAAAATATAATAGTCCAAACCTCCAAATAAAATGAGAAAGGTGTTCGAAAACTTGTAGTTATTAGACCTGGAAATAGACAAATTTGATGATAGATAGGTCTCAAATTTTCTAGAACTGAGCATCATGGAATATGCCATACCAACTGATAACGGTAACTCTTACGGACAAAAAAATGAGTCGTATACTACTGTCAAAAAGACTTTCCAACCAGACCATGGTTTTATATGGAAATAATATTTTATGGGATATATGTGTTGCTACATTTCAAAGACTGAGATCTCTGTCATTTTCATAAAGTGGACAGAAGTCAATTTTTGGTTTATAGGTTTCAACTAAAACTGTTTCTGATGATTTTATTTTTAAATGTTCAAGTTATATCATGAAAAAAAAAAATCACTAGATGTGGTTTAAATTCAACCTTCATTAAAAAAAAATTGTTTTTTCCCCAGCTTTTTAAAAATGACAGATGTCCGTCTGTTACATGAGGCCACTCATAAATAAATACATTGGTGTCAGTGGGCCATAGGGCCAGGCGATGATTTCGCATCTTTGTTGAATGTTTTTTGTTGAAGAGAAGACGATAAATAAATAATAATTCATTCAATTAATTATCAATTGCACCATAATAAACTGTTTAAAATTCCATTTAAATTCAAGCAGAATTCTTATTTGTCGAAACCCATTTAATTCGCTAAGTTTGGCATTTTATAAAATCGTGAATTATACATATGCGAATTGTATTATTAATTCCTTTAAAAATTTCCTCGATTAATTAGCTTCTAATCCGTGATAATTAAGTTGATGTTTATTAAAGAATAATCTGAAGGTCGCTACCAGATTTGTAAACAATTGAAGTAATGTAAAATTCTGTCTCCAACGTAATAGTAACAAAGATTTAAACAAAAATAATTACAAATAAGTATCTAATTTTCAATTTTTTTTTAACCTGTTATTTATTTTGATAAAATAAGACTTGTTTTCGTTTAATAAGATTTATGCCAGATAATAAGCTGAGATTATCATCACGTTTATAAACAACAAAAAAACTGGTGTGCGCACATCACACAGCCCTCACTTATCAACATCAGTATAGTATCAAACAATAGTAATGATTGAGGGGGAAAATGAATCTTTTTGAAAGAATTCTGCTTATAATCAGAAAAATCACGAAACTCGTCGAAAAAATAACTTAATTTTTGTAAATATTGTATGTCATTAGATTTATATTAGGTCAGCAACATTTCACATGGACATCTTTTTGAAAAATTATGGATAAGTGATATATATAAATTAAACTAACAATATGAAAGCCCCGTACAAAGGGACGCCGGGCATCTATAAAGGCAGAGAATCGGCAAAGTTTGGGCGCTGTCGGCTGTTTTCGTCCGGTATCTTGGCTTCCTTCCTCAAGACAGAAGACTAACATGCAACCCACATACTATAATGACTATATAGACTACTGACAAGAAAATCTCAACTTTCAAATGAAAACAAATTACTAACCTACAAGATAGTCCTGTAACACATCTGGACCTATGTACAAGAAATATGGGGAATTGCTAAATTTTTTATTTCCAAACGCATCCAATTCTTGCAGACCGAAGCCCATTGAATAATAGTAAATCCTCCATTTTACATAACAAACGAAACCTTACACCTTGATTTTAATATTCCATTAGTTTTAGAAGAAGAAGAAGAAGAATCAACTTTATTATGGGACAACGTCCCTTAAGAATAACAATTTTGTACATAAAAATTAACATTCCGTCTGGCCAAAATACATATTACAATAAAAAAAAAACTAAGTGATAACAGAAGTATTTACCTTATTACATTTACATTATAGAACGTGACTAGACATCTTATCCATGCTCAAAATAGAATATATATTTATATACAAATGATAAAAGGCTACCCAGCGTCTGATTGAAATGTAAGGAGGAATTGGAATAGGAGGATTTTAAATATGAACAGGGATGGTGCATGGCGGATTTTAAATGGGATGGAATTTCAAAAGATAGTTTAGCGGACAATAAAAAAGTGTTGAAATGAGGCAGATTTGTGGAAAGAGGTATAAAGGTCAGAAGGACGAGATCTTGTGGAGAGAGAGTGGATAGATGACTTGAATTGAAGGAGATTGAATGCGTAGGACAGACGATGATTATAGATTAATCGGTAAAGGAATGTACATAGGAAATATTGTCTTCTGAAGGAGAAAAAAAGCCACCCTAATTCGACGTAGTAATGAGATACACGAGAACGTCTCGTGGCTCTATTGACAAATCATACTAAGCCATTCATGATTCTTTTCAATCTGTCTCCAAGTTCCGATGAGAGGCTATGCAGCCGTAGTCAAGGTGGGGGAAGATGAGGGCGGATACTAGGAGTCTACGTGTGGATATGGGTAAGAGATGGCGGAAGCGATGGAAGAGTTTCAGGGTGGAAATTGAGAGTCGGGATATTTGGGAAATATGATGATTCCAGGTGAGGGTTTGATCTATGAAAACACCTAAGTTTTTAACTGAAGAGTTGAAGGTGATGGGTTGGTCATTTAGTTACAGGAGAGGAATGTTGGTATTGGATCGGAGAAGGGGTTTCGAACCAATGACAATGGCTTGGATTTTAGCAGCGTTTAACCTTAATCGATTTTCATTTTATACCTTATTCCACATAAGGTTCTTCGACTTTTACCAGAACATTCCGTATCATCCATCCTGTAGCACAATCCCTATTTACCTCTACATATCTCCATAATCCACCTCGAATGTTGAAATGGCAATAGCCAGATTCTCCACTCAAAACATCAGAGTATGTGGCTATAGCGCTCTCGCTCAAACTCCACTGGCTTTTAGTACCTGTGACGCAGTTGAGTGAGCTGCGCAGGGATCTGCTATTCTTTCTCAAAGATAAGGATACAGCCTTGGTTTGGAGTTCCATTAGCTGATTGCAAATAGTCTATATAATATGTCTATTTATTTTACTTTACTTATCATTAAGGTTGTTTTAATTTTATTCTAGAGTTCTACCAATGGGTAGTTTCTCTTCATGTTGTACATGCCATGTTACAAATTTCTCATTTACTTATTGTATTCTCTACGTAATACAGTTGTAAATGCCATTGAAATAATAAAAAAAAATTTTATTTATTTCATATACTTTTTATTGTTATTTTTCTTTTATTTTATTTATTTACATTGTCTTTAGAAGTGTGAATTTAATATTTCCCAACTGTAACTATTGTCTATATAATGACAACATGTAATATGACTCAAGCTAAAAAATAAATTAATTGGAACTGCAATTGTTTTCATGAAAACATAAATATGCATTTGTTCACATATTTTTTTTATAAATAAAAGATTTAGTATTTAATTTATTAAAATAAATTCCAGACTAAAAAAATAAGAAAATAATTATTTAACTTTGAGGGAAAAGAAATTTACATCTAATTTTATTTAAAATTAAATTATCGTGACTCAGCTTAATCTGCAACAAACATAAAGTGCAGCCAGAAAGCTCCCCTCCCTTAACAGTAGACCCACCTCTATCCCAGTGATTTTCAGTATTCAGCTTACATAACTAAACCAAATTTTTTTTCAATTGGTTTGTGAAATCATTTCAAGGTAGTAAATTAGTCGAATTCGAATTCAATGAATATTGTATTAGAAGACTAACCATACCCTGTTTGGTTTTTCTTCAAGAAACGAGAATCTAAATAAGTAATCGTTAGGCTCTATCCTAGTAAAATTTGACGAAGCTGATTCCTCAATATACCAATTTTTTTTTTTTTTTTATTAACGTGCCATTTTCCTACAGGCCCTCCAGTTCGGGGTTGTCGAAGAAGAGGACAAACCGGACTCTGCTCAGTGCGTCGTCAAGCGGATCCTGATCAAGCACTCCTTCGAGCTGTCGACCCTCCTCTTCTTCGTGGGCCCGATGACGCTCATCACCATCCTGTACGCCCTCATCGGTCTTAACCTCCGCAAATCTGCCATCATCAGCAAGTCTGGTGGTTCCTTCATGGCAGACAAGAGGCGTCTTCCAGCTAGGAACTCTTCGTCCCAGAGGGTCCTCAAGATGTTGGGTAAGTCAATTTATTATTTGACGAATGTCTGGATCTATTTCAAATCCTATGAATCTATACTAACGAATATTTTACCTCATAGGAAGACAAGGTGAACAAATTATGTCGGAAAATTTGTTTTTAATGAAAATTTAAATAACTCTATGTTAATAAATCAATATTAAAAAGCTTTTGAGATTTTTCGGCTCCTTAATGTGAATTTTCGGTTTAAAGTGTAACTTTTTTCCCATTAGCGCTTTAGATCATGAAGGTATTTGGTATTCTTACAAACATTGCTTGCGTGAACACAGATAGCTTAATGGACCACCCAGTATCATTTAGTTCACAGAAAATGACAAATAGGTCTAATACACCAAATAAATAGAGAAATAAGAAATTCGTAAAGCCCAATTTCGATCAATTGTACATTTTTCAAATTAGATCATTTATTATACTTTGTCTTATCAGAAATATTGTTACAAGAAAATATATACAGATTTGAACAGATTTTTTTTTTCAAAAACTTTATTAAGAAATAAAATTTATATCTACAGAGATTAAAACAAAAAAAAATGTCCCCATTTTGCCTTGAAATAGGCATTAAATCTCCGTATCCAGTAATCAATAGCAGAACGTAGCATTTCTTGAGGAAAGAGCTCAACTGCTCGAACCACAGATTGTTTGAGGCTTTCCAAGTTTGGGTGTGCTCTGTGGCATGCCATCCTCTTCAGTTTGGACCAAAGTCTAGTCTAGTGGGTTGAGATCAGGGCTTCCTGAGGGCCAACCGGAATCAGAGATGAACTCTGGAATGTTCTTTTGCAGCCACTCCTGGCCTTGTGAGCTGGAGCGGAATCCTGTTGAAAACCCAATGACCCAGCAAACAGAGTGTCATTTAGAGTCTTGACAACAGGTTCCAAAATATCGTCCTAGTAGTTTTTAGCGGCTGTTTTAACTCCTTTTCCACAAAAATGGAGCTTTATGGTGCCATCAAAGCAAACTCCCCATCAAACCATCATTGAGGAAGGGTTATGGCATTTCCACTCTCCCAATGACTTTATGGGCTTCTTTAGAGCTCTGTGCGTACACAAGATCATTTTCGCGATTCAATTTTTCTTCAATTGTAAATATTTTCTCATCTATAAACAAAATCTGTCGATGAAGACCATTGGTGTAATGTCCAAGGAACACATTGTATCTATCCACTGCTCTGCTCACTCTGCATTTGCCGTTCTCATAGTGCGGGGACGGCCCGGTCTAGGTCTGTCACATACTGATAGGGTCTCATTATATTTATTTACAGTGCGGTACACGAACATCCGGCTGATACTCAAAAGTTTCAAAGTGATGAAAATTTCTGACCTGCATTTTGCAACTTTGTGTAAGGCGATCACAGCTACTTGGTTTTCTTTATCGCTACACTCCATGTTAACTGAACGAAAGAAAAATACAACCTAATTGGGATCATCCTCCTGAATGTAAAGAAAATAAACTGATTTTCTTATCTTTAAATAAACTGATCTTTTTATACTGAGGTAAGGATTATCTAAATAATACCCAAAGATGTAAACAAAGTTCAACTTTTGTATCATAATACATTATTATATGGGAATAATAACATAATTTCATTGCATATCCTAGTACAAAATTGTACTGAAACACTTATTTTAAATTATAAATAATCCTCAGTCAATATTCAAAGCTAATAAATGATCCTTATACTTGCGAGGAAGTAATTATTCTTGTGGTTCTGAGAAGCCTGCTCTTTTCCTGCTGGGTTTGATCAAGTACCTAAGGGTCAACTACAACCCTCTTCCTCGAAAACATCTCACTTAAAGCCTCCATGCCAATCGTAACTTCTTTATGAGCTGGTGTATAGGGGAAGGGCTAAAGCGAAAATTTTCATTAGTCCATTTTTGTTTGTAAGAGTGACCTAAATGTACACCTTCTAAATGTAAGCCTGTGTATGGAACAAACATCCATTGAAATTTTTCCAACTTAAAGGAATAAATTGGACACAAATATATTACATATTTTAACATGTATTAAAATAAATAAAAATGTTGCGTTTTAACATTTATAGTCCGTGTCCTTGGTACAGATCCCTTTTTATCAAATCATTAACATCCGCCTAAAAGTTCGTAAATAGCTTATTCGCATAGTAACCTACAAATATTTTGTTTTCAAACTTTGTCTATTTAATTAGGTATTAAACACTCATTAATACCCATTCTTTTTCCGCTTAAATCACAAAATAGAAAAAAAAAAAAAGGTGGCCTACAAAGTTATTAGTCCTTTTGGAGTTACCTCGTCCCCCAATGATAAAATTAATAACCCCAATTAAAAAAATAACAAACTATGATAAAATTTATATTTTTCACCACAAAGGAGCGTAAAACGTGATCAGACATCTTTGATAAACTAAAGACTTCGGCTAAGTCCCTCAAGATTTAAGGATTATGTCTTCAAGATTTCCCGCTAATAGTAGCCTAAAAACTACCGAGAAATCTCTTTCAGAAACATGGCGTGCAGAAACTGTTGTATGTCGCTTGTAAAAGAATGATAAAGGTCATTATTCAAAATTTTGGATTGGAATAAATAATAAGGCTATAAAAAGACCGATTTAAAACTAAATTTTATTAATTTATAGGAGATAAATATTCATTAAAAAAAACACAAAGGGAACGGATATTACTTAATTATTATTAACGAAAATAGGAAGTTGCAATATCTTAGCTTCTAAGTACACTATCGTTTTTATTTTTGAAGTGAAAACTTCATAAGGTGCGTTTTGCACTTTTTTGTGGAGAGTGAATTAGATTGAGCCGTCAGATTTCCGATATAAAACGCTCGGGTAAAGTCGGCTGGAGTCGACTAATTGAATCGTTTTAGAATATGGATTAAAATATCTCAAAAAATTGTATCTTGATGCGACACCGTGTTAGAGAGTTGAAAAGGAAAAAAAATAATGTCGAAAACCACATGATAACGAGTTTAATGGAAGATATAGAAACGAACAATCAGACATGCATACTGAAAGCGAGGGAAATGTTCAGCATTTCATCCTCTTTATTATGAGCTATTATTTATAATTATAATTATAATGATGTTTTCACTGTGTGGTGTAAATCACACATAGTTTTTATATTATTTTTTTATTAAATTTATTAATTAGTCGTATATCCACTGCTAATTTTTTTAAACCGACGCTGCGCAGTGTGCTGATCAAGGACACCTTTCCCTTCATATTTAATCATTTCACGAGTTGCTTCAGTGGCTGTGAATTTTTTTTCTCCAGTAATTCGTTGAAATTACGAGAATTTCGCAGGACACTGTCATGTTTCTTCTTTGAAACAAATAATTAAACTGAGGATTTTTTTGAGGAAGTCGAATGAGATTAAACAAGCTAAGAGAATGCTCTAAAGGGATTATTAAGTATTAAAATATTTACAGTCCTTTGAAATCTTTAATTTGATAAAACGATAATTTTTTTAATAAACCCTATTGTTATAGTTGTTGAAGGAGTTTAGAGATCGAATTCTTTACAATCTCTTGAGATTCTTTACATCTCAATGAAATCCTCTTGCGTTTGATACCATATTCAACGAAATCCATTGTCATGAGAGCCAGAAAGGCGATCCAAACTGTCGTATAATTTACCTATATTGTAGATTTTAGTGGTGAGTGAAAGTTGTGGAGATGAGCAGCCCACGATTCGAATGTGGCATTATTATACATTTTAATATAGAGGAAGACTTATAGAAAAGAGACAATTATGAACGTTTCTGAGAGTTCAATGGCCTTACAAATCGTGAATATGTTGAGAAGGCTTTTGAAGCTAATGAGCTTAAACTGGTGGTTAAATTTATTGAACTGTTGGTGAATTTCAGTAATTAGCAATCACCCGTAACTCGTTTTGTATAATTACCTCTTCTTCTCTTGGAACTGTTTGCCCGTAATAATTAGTCCAGATTAAACTACTCCGCCATTCGGCTAGCACAATAACTAATTGGCCCTGGAGTTGTGAACCGCACCAAGTCACCAAACCACTTACGGTTTTGGGTCCTCTGTTATTCGGCCATTATTAATCCAATTACAGTCCTAAGTCATCTAATACCAGAGGTGCTTGGTCCATATAAAATTATCTAAAAAATTTATTTCACTGATGAATCGCACTAATGTTCTCTCTCTGCAAATCAATCCGATTGTTCAATTCCTCGGTATTAATTGAAATAAGTCCTACAACTTATAGCATCGGAGAAACAAAAATCGAAATACAGAGAAACGTCACTGAGCGTAACTTTCATAGACCTCGGTTAGACCGTTTTATTTTTTGGTGTTGGGAAGGAAGTTGATAATGAAACTTTGTTATCAAATAAAAAACTAACCCATCTCCTCACTTTTAAATCTGAGTAATACATTTCCTATTACGTCTTACAGACTTTACATCATTTAACAGAACTAAATGATTGGTGCAAACTTTGTAAACTTCGACTCAAAATAGACAAATTCCAACAAATTACCTTCGCTCGACAAGAACATTTCCCCATATTTACCTCGACAATTCTCAAATTCCTCAAAATATTCAATATTTTGGACTGACGTTTGATGGCAGAATGACGTAAGACAACAGGTGCATAACGGGGAGGGGGAGAGGGCTTTCGGGCTGAAGCCTTCTCCTCCCTCCACTCCTCCCCCCCTCCAATGGTAAAATATAACCATGTTTTATAGAAAAAAATATTTAAAACTACATCTTAAAGTATTACTGTTCGTGTAAATACATAGGATAAGGTGTCATTAATAGGAATTCAAGAATCACTTAAACACCATGTCATATAGGTAGTTAGTTTTTTATTTTTTTCAAATTAATTATCATGATATATACACATGAAAAAAAAAGTTTTGGGCTGAAGCCCTATCCTAAAATTAAATCCTGGATCCGCTAGTGCATAGGGGCCCACATATCAACAAAAAAGGAAAAATGTTAAACCTCAGACTGAAATTTCAAGATCTTTAAAACCAAA